CTTCATCCGCTGTTGAGCCTATTGCTGGAGCAATGATCTTGCTGAGCAACTTCCTCAGATCCTCTTTCGCCGATTCAGGAACTCCCTGGAATCTGAGAATCATGTTGGCTTTTTCCATTTGTAGCTGTAACAAACAGTTTTCTTGGAAGTGTGGTTTTGCTTCAACTTCCCCCATTCTTTTCTTCATTTTCTTGTTTGTGGTGTCTATCTCTTTAATTCTCTCAGTTGTATGCTCCACCTTCTTTGCCGTTTCTGCCAGTTGGAGCTGCTGGGATGCGAAGTTTTGATTCAGCGAAGTCAGTTGCTGGTTAATACCATCGAGTTGCTCCATCACCGGCTTGAGCATATCCACTTACATTTTCATGACGTCTGCTCCCTCTTCTGGTTTTGGGCTCTGACTACCCGCTGGTTTCGCTTTAAACTTTCTTTGCGAGGCCACCATTTTATATGATTGGTTACAATTTCAAACCGCTTCTCACAGACTCGAAAAATCGTCACCCTGATGTCAGCGCTCAAGTAAGTCTCTCAAAACAAAATCGCTGCTTGATTCCCCCCTGCCCCCTTCGTTATGCTTATCTATCTGTTCGCATAAGAGGCGTCCCTCTTTGCGCTCCGCTTTTCCCACGAGGGGGGTAGTTTGCTTTTAAAATATTCCGCTTACTTTGAACTCATGTTCATTGTCGGTCATTTCTCTGACCTCGCTCACAGTAATCGATATTCCGCTCGATCTCCAGCGCTTGTCCCAGTCGAATCAGCTTGTGCCCGAGGCCACACAGCGGCAGGACCGTCAAGGCGGAGGGAAGCCTCAATTCTCCAGCATTTAGCCGTCAAAGAGGCTGAGGGGCCTGTGAAACTACTGTTATAAGACTGCATAACATCCAAAGCAAACCTATGAGGCTTGTGACTGCAAGGAGTTGAGTGCTGAGAAAATGCAATTTTTCTGTAGCATATGTACTAGGGGAGAGGAATGTCACTTGACTCTTCTGCAATTTTTTAAGAGTATGCAAAGCTTCTCCATTACCCACCTGAGGGAGACAAGTGTTGTTCACCCTAACCCTTCAGATTTTGAGATGTCTCAGTCCACCTTCTCAGTTTTTTTAAATCTCTGCAAATGCTTTAGTTAACCTAGAAGGATATCGACTTACATGCAGTTTCGAGCAGCTAAGTCTCTGTGAATGAAGTTTTTGGAGCTCAGGTACTCCATGCCACTGGCAATATCGATCATGAACTTTAAAAGAGTCTGAAGAGGCAGGTTCTGCAGAAGAGACACACAATTAGTGTCAGGTTATTGGAAAAATGACTAAAATTCTGCCATAGGCATTTGGGCCATTATCTACTCTGGAGATGGTGAAAAGCAATTAGCAGAGCTAGGGTTGGTTGTTCAATGATGTAGGCACCTTAATGGCCAGCCACACTGCAGCATCAGCAATTTCATTCTGTCACCAAGAGTGTGCGCAGAAAATCAGGATATGGGGAGTACTGGCACTGCTTACTTGCAATTTCTTTTGGAAATTTCATGTGTTCTAGATGAAGGGAGTGCTTGTGGCCAAGAACCACACTAACTATATAAGCATAGCCATAAACAACTCCCATAGAAAATGAGCATTTTTGATGGCTAAGCTAGAGCAATTCCTTCAGATTTGGTTTCTTTACACAGGGAAGTTTTTTTTCCCCCTTATGGGGAATTTTAAAATTACATTTTAGCCTGCTCTTCCTTCAAGGAGCTCAAGGTGGCATACATGGTTCTCTTATCCTCCATTTTAACTTCACAATAACCCTGGGAGCTAGGCTTAGTGACTGGCCCAAAGTCACCTTGTGTACATCCTGGCAGAGGACCCTGTACACTATGCCCAAGTTCCAGGGAGAAAAGATGGAACTTACAGCTCTCCCCATTCTAGTCTGAAGTGATATAGTCTAATAATAGCTCCATCATATGGTCATGCAGATTGGCTCTCGAGAGGGAGAAAGAAGACAGTAAAAAAACACATAGCTTCTTGATTCCACTTGCCATATCTTATCATATAAAGAGGAATCAGTCAAGGAACTAGTAGTATGTCCATACACTGGAACATTAACCAAAGACTGTCACCTGATATTCAGTGATCTAGCAAGTTGCAAAGGAAATTCTCCTTCTTTGTTCTTCTAAGTATTCTTGGTGCATAGCCTGGACTATTACTCCATCAAAGACTGAACACTTGCATATGAGAACAAAGCCATTTTAATGGTCTAATCATGTTGACAGAAATATTTGATGTTAATACTGGGAACCCTATGGAGCTGCGGTGGCTCAAGTGGTTAAGACGCTGAACTGCAGGCTGTGGAAGGTCAGTAGTTCAGCAGTTCGAGACCCGAGTGTGCCGCATGATGGAGTGAGCTCCCGTCTCTAGTTCCAGCTCCTGCCAACCTAGCAGTTCGAAAGCAAGAAACTGCAAGTAGACAAATAGGTACCACTTCAGTGGGAAGGTAACAGCGTTCCGTGCGCCTTGGTGTTTAGTCATGCCGGCCACATGACCACGGAAACATCTTTGGACAGCGCTGGCTCTTCGGCTTTGAAACGGAGATGAGCACCGCAACCCTAGAGTCGGATTCGACTGGCTTTCAAGCAAGGGAACCTTTACCTTTACTGGGAACCCTACTGGAACCATGTTACCCAAGATTCAAAGGTTTGGCAAAAAATAAAGGCCAATGAAAGCAATGTGTTACCAGAGTATCATAGCAAACAACGCACAATAAAGCCCTTCTGAGATTCAAGTGTCTAACTTTTCATTCTTGTGGACTATAGCTACTACACATAGAATGGCTTGGCTGCTATGACATTGTTCCTCTTGTGTTCTCTCAAGCTGCTGCAGAGACAGAAGGGATAGTGGCAGAGGAAGTTAGCGCTCCGCAGTAGCCGGAGAAAAGCATGAGAGGGAAAATGTCATAGGATCCAAGCCAAATAAACTTATTTAGATGGTCAGAGCAGACCACAAATGTCTTTTGTTGACAGCAGTTAGTAGGACTGTGGAACTGAATACAGGCCAAAATAATTTTTGCCCTATTTGCCCCAAACAATGAGATATGGTGTACACAGGAGAAACAAAAGCTTCGACCCAAAATGTGATCTTATAATCTATTCTTCCTTTAGGGTGTTGGTAAGAGAATTGCTTACAAAAGGATTATCTCCAATTCGGGACATCAGTAGAAAAGAGTGAAGGTCTCCATGCTTCATGAAGGGCAGGATAACCATTGGGATGGGAAGCCGGCCTTTGGGCCGATTGCGCAAGCTGACTCCTGATAGGAAAGAGTAGAAAAGAAAAAAAGCAATTAGCAAGCAGCACCAGTCTTGATCTGTCCTATCATACTCTCCTCTTCACAACATGCTGAAAATATTCTCATGCGTATTTGAAGGGCAGAATCTCTAAACCAGGTATAAAGGCCTGATCCACTTTTTGCGTCCAGTGACAGAAATTCTCATTTACTTCATCAGGAACAGTAAGCACTGAGTTTTGGGCAAGGGATCCCTCCTGTATTTGTCACATAAGCAACCTCTAAGGAGGCTGATTCTCAAATTGAAATAAATCGGGGGGGGGGGGACAGGGACATTTTTTTCATTGCTCTATATTCCTCAGTGCCTTTTTTGGTAAATTCAAAATGCAACTTTTTTGCCCAATTGTACGAACAATCAGTCTGAAGCAGCAAGAAAGGCTGATTAAGGAGGTTCCCTCTCGTAGCCTGTTTATCCACTACACTCTCAGTCTGACATAACTCTGAGAATCAATACACTGCAGAAATTTGAGATGAAGAGGAAAAATAGGTTACTGTGAATGTGTATAAATGCACAAAAAAGCCTAACATCTTAAACAGGCCAAAAGCACACTGCTGGTTTCTAACCTAGCACTATGAGATTCAAAGGAACTGTGAAATAGGTGCTGTTGGCCATCCTCTCCTGCAAAAGTAAATGCATCATCCAAAAGCACTCACCAATCAGTTTAGTCACATGGGGATGGTTAAACTCCTTCATGCAGGCAGCTTCCTTCAGAAATTCCTCAATGTCACTTGAAGTGAATATGTCCGCTGAAATATAGGGAAGGAGAATTGAGGCTTCCTTTTGAGCTCAGTGAGGCTGATTTAAAAGAAAACATGCACGGGACAGCACTGCAAGTAGCACAGGGCATTCTCATCGCCAAACGTTTGTATACAGAGAAGTGTACAGGCACATATGGAAACGTCACTAGGAAACATATCCTGTCTGTTCATCCATCTTCCAGATGAGATGACTACACATTACTTCAGGGAGATGTCCTCAGGCACTAGAGAAATGTCACAAATTCATTCTTGTCATATAGAAGGGCTAGAGATGAATAACGTCTTTCCCCAGGGTTACTCTTGCCAGTCACAGAAGTCACTGCTTTCAATGGAATGGAAAATAACTACTTTAATGAACAGAAAATGCCAGTAAAGAACTTACCACCAAACTGGTAAGGCATGATTGGAATCAATTTAATCTACAGCTTTGGCAATATATGATTCATACCAAAATGTACAAATCAGTTGATCAGACATTCTAATTTACAAGAGTTCTGTTTAATATTACCAGCTGTGCTTTGGAGATTGTGACTCCCATTAATTGGAGATGTAAGTGATGGTGCAGTTTTACTCTTAAAGGAATTATCAAAACTCCCAGTGATGTTAACAGGAAGGATTTCAACATTAGGGTGATATCCTGAACCTGCTTACATATGCACAGTTTCTACTGCTGCAAGGAAAAGTCCTCAGCACTTTATTAAGATACAGATTCCTGGTACTGTTTCGGTGGAATCCTCTTTGGTGGTCACTGCAGCATTTTAGAGCACAGTGCAAAGACTCAAGGACAGAATGGCTTTTACTGCAGAAGGCACACAGAGTCAAAAGATGACTTAAAGAGAGGGAGGAAAGGAGAGGAAACAGAAGTATGTCAAACAGTTTTGCTTGGTAAAGAAGTGGTCATAGGCAATGTTCCCTCTAAGCTTTGGGGTCTTGTGAGCGGAAATTCTACTTTGTGAGCTACCAGCATTAAAGTTGTGAGCAAATGATTTGGCTGCTGCATGAATTAGTTTGCTATGGAGCCATCCTTCCTGAGCTAAGACAAAAATGTGTGAGCTAGAGGCTAAAAAACTGTGAGCTGGCTCACACTAACTCAGCTTAGAGGGAACATTGGTCATAGGCACAGGGAAGCACTGGAGGCACAACGAGTCATCCAGATCTTAATCACCTTTCAGCATTTTCACCGCAACCTTCTGGAGAGAGCCATCAGGCAGTTTCAGCTGACCCTCTCTTACGGACCCAAACTCCCCTAGTTAGGAAGCAAAAGATGGAAACAGATTACAGGTCAACCATAGGACATGTGACCTTTGATCTCAGGGACCATCAAAGGTGGAGTTGTTAGGTAGACAAAGAGGAAGTTGGGAAGCTACTACCTCCCACAGCCTCTTCTGATATAAGGTGCCCCCTCCGGCCTTGTTGGAAGTTATATGCATAAACCACATCATACTGGGACTGAAAATCTACAGGAACTTTAAATATGCAGAAACAGGAACTGAAGGCATGATCCAGCCAAAGCAAAGCTAAAAAGTGCGTCACTGTCCCCCCTCAATTATAGATGAGTCAAGATTTGATTACCTTGATATTCTAGGGGGGTTAGATTTAAATTTTAGTTTGACTGTAATGGATCATTCATGTAAATTATAATGGCTTTTTCGAAAGATTATTTTTATTAATTTAATCACTTCTGTTACTTCCCACTGGGTTGTCAAGGAGACTTTCCCCCCCTACTGTTGGATGTTGGTTACATGATTGTATATTATACATTTTTAATAAATGGAATTAAGCATTAAAAATACTTCATTCCTACTGGATTATGCCCTTTGTTCTTTAGTGGTTAATGGTGTACAGAAACGAGAGGACATGGGCAGGAGCTATTAACAGGAAGCTATAGTAGTAGCCCTTCCTCTGGTTTCCTCCTCCTAAGATCTCCACAGGTCTAATTCCCTTTTTCTCAAAGCTCCACTCTTTGCTTATGTTTGGTTTGTTTAAGCACCATACATTGTACTCTCTGCCCTAAATTCCTCAAAATCTGCAATTTTCCCTGTATCTTTCCCTTCTTTTTGGGTTCTTCACCACCTTCGGAATTCTTATAACAACACTGACTTGAGTTACCACCTACACATTTACACAGTTCTTGTAAAAGTGTTGAATGGGCCATATGCAGAAAAGGTGCTTACGGCACAACTAAACTACAGATACCAGCAATATTGAGGTTCATTCTAAAAATGCACTGATTTTTGAAGACTAACAACCCCATCCTATGTAGTAGGCATGCACATGCTCATCATAATCAATGTGTTTAAGTACAGCTAGCTCTGCATTCTGTTCTGGAGCTTTGTAGTGCCTTAAAGACAGACACATTTATTGGAGAAAAAGCTTTTGTTGGCTAGAACTGATGAAAGTCAACCATCAATAAACCTTTTAGTCTTTAAGGTACCACAAGGATCCTTTTTGTTTTGGTAACAACAGGCTAGAATACCTACTCCACTGGAACTGGACTGTGCTGTAAACCTTAACCAGAATGCACATATTTTAGCCAGACTTTGGTTCACACTCACCTTTGCCTAGCATTCTCCCCAAAGTAAACTGCTGCTCCTGGATCAGGACATCCTTCAGTTTGGTCTTCAAGTCATCACTGATTCCTATACTATCCACTAGAGAAATGAAATCAGAAAGAGGGGCAGAATCTCAGTGAGCACAGCTGCTACCACATATAAAATCCCAGTATTTATTCCTAGCCATAACTGAGGTTACATATGACAAAGTGTATGGAAAACGCACAACCTGATTCTAAATATCAGTACCTGCAAGCAAGGGTGGACTGGCCATTAAGGCTACTGGGGAAAGTCCCAGTGAGCTGATGTCCTGGGGGCCTTCCCAGCTCTAAGCAAGGGGTGACTCTCACCCCAGGCAGCGTAGGGAAGGAGGCACCTGGCCAAGCCTGGTTTGGGGAAGGAGGCACTTGGCTGAGCCCAGCAGAGGGAATGACTAGGGGAACATTCAGCAGTTGATGAATCCAGGCCTGCAATCTTGAGCATACTTCTTTGGAAGTAAGTCCCACTGAAATCAATAAGATGGCTTGCCTGATGCTACGCAAGCTTACCCAGAAATAAGACCTGCCATGGACAGAGGGGTTTACTTCCAAAGAAGGGTGCCTTGGATTGCCATTTTATTTCCAAATAATCATGGTTAGGATTGGGCTGGAGGGAAGCAGAATGAAAGAGCGTCCTTACAAGCACCCCAACCCAGCAATGTTTAATTTGTCATCTACGACGTGATGTAATGTGGGTACTGGGACTCCAGTTACACTTCAAAGGGTCAGTTTATTATTTATTTATTTATTTATTTGTTTGTTGTTGTTGTTTTTACCCCACCCTCCCAGCTAAAGCCAGCTCAGGGCAGCTTACATAAAATCAATACATAATTTACAATAAAACGTGACTAATTTGAATTAAAACAATTCTAAAATTGTTCCAGCCAAGACACTTGTAAATATTATCCAAAAGATTATTCAGTCCTGCGGACAGCTTTTTGTCTTTGTCTGTATAAAAGGTGTGCAGAGCTCGATCAAAAGCATGAGAAAAATTCGTGAGGGGGGGGGATGGTGGAACATGGCACTTGGAACGGAAAGCTTCATTTGACATAAACTCCATGAATACTGATGAATGGGATCTGTGTGAAAGAGTCGCTCGGAACATTTGACATACATGTTGCTTCAATAAGCTCAGGGCCTTCTCTGTTGAAAGATCTCACTGCTCTGAAGTGGACCACAGGATCCCCTCCCACCACGCTGCCAAAAGCATGACTAGAATGCAGAAAAGAAACAAAATAGTCTCATCAAGGAAATATTCATTTACAAAAAGGTACAATATCGCACAGTACACACTTACATTTGCTTAATACGGGCACAGTGGTATAGAGCTGCCATACACTGGTAGGTATTTTCACTTGGTGTGGCTATAAGGAAAGCATGATGTTCCTGGGCAGAGCTCCCTGTCTTGGGCTCCTGCAGTGTCTCAGAAGTGAAGTGGGGAGTAGTGAGCCTGTGCCAACAAGAGATGTGGGGACAACACATGCCCACACTCCTGCCTCTACTTGCCTGTGCCTCCCCCCCCAGCTCCTCATCCTCCTTGTTTTCCTTCCTTCTTGGTTATAATGACAAACTGTGGTAGCCAGGTCCTTTCAGGTCACACTGGTCTGAAAAGATGTTCTCATCACCGTTCCTCTCCTTGTTCAGACTCCCTGTTCCACCCACCACCAGTTGCCTCCAGCCTTTCACTGCCTTGTAAATAGCAGAACCCCCCTCACCCACCAGCGCTTCCACTCCAGATAGTTACACAATCGTTGGCAGTTCTGTCATGACATAGTGGGTCTGCATTAATACATCCATGTAAGTGATCCCAAGGCAATAATTTTCACCAATAAAAAGAAGACATTTACCCGAAACGAGTTTCTTTTCTTCTTTTCCGTAGGAGGATTAGTGCCAAGGCAACAGCTGTAACGAGTGCAGTAAGAATTCCTAGAACCACCGGGACCCAGGATGTGCCATAGCGGGCCTGTCTCTGTCCTCCTGGATAGAAAAGAAAACCTCTGTGAGAAAGCAAGATGCACCTCAAACATGCCTCCTTAAAACAGAAAATGGCTTAAGGTTGCCCACTTGGCCTCTACCAAAGCCTGGTCCTTTTCAGTAGTGGTTCCCATTTTGTGGAGATGACAACTGAACCATCCTCGGAAGTTTTCAGTAAGCGCTGTTAGGCTGTTTTATTTGCTAGATCTTTTAATGGGGTCTAGGCTGCCAGCCTTTTCTTGGGGGAGGTGTTAACAGGGTTTTACCATATTGAGTATTGTTTTAATTTGGATTTGTAGACCACAAGGCACAGGTAGACTAATATGTATAAATAAATAAAGGGGGCTGGGCAAAATGAAAGGCAAGAGCAGAAGGAGAAAGAAGATGGAGGAGGAAGAGGAGTAGTAGTTGGTTTTTATACCCCACTCTTCACTACCTAAAGGAGTCTCAGAGTTGCTTACAATTGGCCTCCCTTCCTCTCCCCACAACAGACACCCCATGAGATAGTTCTGAGAGAGCTGTGACTGACCCAAGGTCACCCAGCAGGCTTCATGTGGAGGAGTGGAGAATCAAACCCGGTTCTCCAGATTAGAGTCTGCCACTCTTAACCACTACACCATACTGGCTCTCACTGAGTTAGACAGCTACCTTAGCAAGGCCACTGTTCTTTGTACCACTTTCTTTCATCGGATATATCACTGCACTGCGTTAAGTATGAATAGATTTTCACAACTTTTTCTCCTGTGATGCTGTATCTCAGGACTGAACCTGGGACTTCTGTATGCTAACCTATGCAGCCAGAAATGGAGGTGCTTCAGTTCTGGCTATACAGCTGTGCTACCTGAGTTCCAGGAACAGTAGGAAGGGGAGGGTGGCATGGGTTGGCTGGACTCCTAGGAAATTATAATGGCCCTCCGATTACCAGTACTGGGAGGCAACATCAGGGAAAGGCCTTGGCCTCTGTGCCTTGTTTGTTGACTGTCCAGGGCAACAGGTTGACTGCTGTGTGGGACAGGATGCTAGATTAGATGGGCCACTGGTCTGATCCTATAGGGCTCTTCTTATGTTCTTATGAATTTGAGTATTAGTACAATGCCTTTTGCATCTAATGTGACTCTTCCCAGCAAATCCCTAAAAGGTAGTTTTGGCTTTGCAGAAGTCACTTCACCATTTACCCAGGGCAGGGCTCAAGAATTCATAGCTGAAGGATGTGATTTCCAGTCTGCAGCTGAGAGGGAAGTGTTGTGTTGCATTTGAGCTCCGTTTTATCTGCCCTTTGTTTATGTGTATTTGCTTATTTATTGTTTGTCCATTGTTCGTTTATTGGTTATGTGATTGGGATTTTGTGTTGGCTCTTCGGGAGCTTGGCATTTGGCGTTTGCTGCTTGCCAGTTAACCGCAACATTTAGTTTTTAATTCTCTGTGTTTTTCTTAGATCTCCCTCTGGTTTTGGTTTGTTTTATTAGAGTGGGAGTTGATTTGGGTTATTTCAAGGACTCTTAATCTTCCACTGGTGTTTACTGTTATTAGCATTTTAGTTTAGCCTTGTCTTAGTCAAGTATTTTTAATATTTAAAGTAATGAACTCTAGTTAAGCTCCGCACTTGGTCCTTATAAGGACTATTAGTCAGTGTTTGTTACTGCACTATTATTTCTTTTTCTGCTTGTTTACTTTATTTATTTTATTTACTTTATTTATTTTATTTTTTTACTAAAGCCTTTTTGTCGTGTGGGTTTTGTTCTGATACCCAGAGCAAAGACTACATTTCCCCCTCTCTTGGTGAAATTCACTTAATTGGAGCCACCTGCATTTCTGAACTTGTTTTGCTTCAAGCCAAACTATGAGTAAAAAAAAGACGATATCCATTTGGTGACCAAGAAGAAGATTTTTCTCGGAAGCAAAGCAAACAGAGTAAATTAGATGACTTCTTTGATGCTTTCCCAAAATCTAATAGATTTGATGTTTTGGAGCATGAAGAAAACAGCCTTTATTCACCTTTGGATTTAAGTCATACTTCTTTGCCTAATGCTGATGACCATACTGCTGATGGTACTCACAATACTAATGCTAAATAAAAAGGATAAGTGGCACTTATCCTTGCTCCTCAGATTTACTCCAGATTTTAGCCTCACAGACCCTTCTGTTGACACTCTGCAGAAGGTTTTCAGCAGTTTGGATTCTATTACAAAGAATTGCAGTTCCTGCACCTGTAATACCAAGTGTGCTAAATCTGAGATAAATACAAATGCAAATAAAATCTGTTCACCCAAGGAGGAGCCCTCCAAAAATAGGGATTATCTGAGTGATGACCTAGATTCTGTTAAATATGTCCCTTTTACTGTTCTCCTTGAAATCTCTCCATATAGAGGGAAAACCATTTTTTGGTCTTCTAAGTGGCAGGTCAAGTGCCACTTATCCTTTTTATTGGGGGTACCGGCCATCAAGATTGATGTAAAGAAGATCATAAGGGTTAGGGTTAGGGAACTGTTAAACTCAACTTTGAGGCCCATCCCCTGTTCTTGTTTACTATTTATATCCTGCCAGGTCTATCTATATTGATTATTCTTGTCTATGGAAAGATATAGAGTGTAAAATCTCTTCTATCCTACACGTCTATTCGAAGGTGCTCTCTTTGTTAACTGGGGACATGAATGCACGCATAGGTAGCAGTAATGAACCCATCCTTTTTTCCATCTATGGACTTGACAATGATGTGTGGGATCTTCTGATCTTACACAGAATCTCGAAGGATCAAAAAATAAATACTAGGGGAAAGATATTTTTTCACTCCACCATCAAACTGGGATTTAATATTTTAAATGGATTCAGTAAATTAGGGGATCAGGGAGAATTTACTAAGATTAATGGAAATGGTGGTAGTGTGGTCAATTTCTGTTCGGTCTCTTTTAGTCTCCTACCCTACTGTTCTAAATTTAGGGTAGGTGAACCATTGGGTAGCGACCACCTGCCTCTCCATCTGGAAGTAATACTACCCTTCGGCGAGAAACTTGAACAAGAACCTGAGGTAGGATTAATAAATTCAGGTCAGATTTTAAAAAGAGCCCAATGGGATGTCAATAAATCAAATGAGGCCTATGCCATCTTTTATTCGGACAGAGCCTTATGTCACAACTTTTTAATGAGCCTTCATTTATTAAACAAACAGTGATTTTGGAGTAAGTGTTTCACCTTTTTGACCATTTGTTGTTTAAAAGGGTAACACAACTAAAGCCACAACCTCTTTTTAGGGGAAAAAAATGGTTCGACAGAGATTGTTATCATGCTCGTAAAGAAATATGTAGAATTTCCAGAGCCTACAGGTGTATGAACTCTGAGAGTTTATTGGCTACTCTGATCAATCGTAAGAGGCAGCTAAAGCACCTGATTAGGTTTTTTAAAAAGAAGCTCTTTGAAAGAAAGTTGGTATAGATTGATTATGGCTATAAACAACCATGATGCTCCAACTTGATCACGGCTCTAGATTACACTGTCATATTTCTCCTACTGTTTGGGAGAACTATTTTGCAGAGATTTTCGGCTCTACTACTTTACCTGCTGATACTAGTGTACATAGCTTATCAGATAATCTCCCTTCCTGGTCTCCAATAACAGAGAAAGAAATAGCTAGCTTCATTACCAAGCTTAAAACTGGCAAAGCACCTGGCCCTGATTATATAGTAAATGAACTCTTTAAGAGTAATATTCCAGGCTGGAGTAAGATCTTGGCTCCCTTTTTTTCTAACATTTGCCATTCTGGCTTCATACCGAAATCTGGTTAAATTCAATAGTTGTTCCGATACATTAAAAAGGTGATTATTCCAAACCTGACAATTACAGACCAATTCGTCTGCTTTCTTGTGTGGGCAAATTATTTACCTCCTATTTATTGATTAAATTACGGACTTGGCTCTTAGAGAAACAAGTCCTTATGCCCTCTCAGATTGGTTTTAAGAGTCAGACTTCTAACATTGATCATTGTGCAGTACTTGCTCATGTGATTGAGAAGTATATTAATCCTTCGGGAGGTAAACTATATGTTGCCTTCATTGACTTGAAAAGGGCTTTTTATGCAATTCCTCGTGCCAGATTGTGGGAAAAGCTTACAAAAGCTGGTATGGATCATCGCCTACTTTGGCTAATTCACAAGTTTTACCAAAACAACACCACACAGGTGAGGTGTGGGAGTAAAGGCCAACTGTCTAAAATGATTAAAATTAATAGAGGTGTTAGGGCTGCCTATTAGCGCCTTTTTTATTTAACCTCTATATTAATGACATTGAAAACCACCTTTCTGGTGAATCCTTCCATCCTCCCCACCTGTCTCAAAAACCTATATCAAATTTATTTTATGCTGACGATGCCATGTTGTTATCTCGGTCATATGTTGGGCTGAAACGTTTGATGAACACTTTTGCATTTTACTGCTCTCAGGACCTACTGGACATAAAATACTCCAAAACCAAAGTAGTTGATTTTTCTAAAGGTGTACTGCCTCGCCGTTTTTCTTGGTTAATAAATGGCCAGTCGATCGAACAGGTTAATTCCTTTTGTTATTTGGGTGTGCTTTTTCCTTATAATTTGTCCTGGAAAACTCATATTACTGCCACTAAGAAGCTGGCATCAATACATTCATCTGCTCTCTTAACATTTTTACGGACTACGGGCAGTAACTTTTTACCTGCTGGCATTCATGCTTATCACGCAAAAGTGGTTTCCCAATTACTCTATGGTGCTCCTTTATTTATTACTAGGGTCAACGACAAGTTAGACTCCTGTTTAACCTCTTTTCTTTGTTCTCTGTCTAATCTCTCCTCATGTGTATCTGGTCCAGCTATTTGTGTGGAATTTGCTGAGCAGTCCTTAGAAACAAAGGCTTGGATGGCAACTTTTTTCTTTAGGCTAAAAATACTCTATTCTTAGAGGGATGTTATTTGCACCTTTTAGCTAAGGACAGTTTTCGAAGTTCATGGCTGAAATTGGTTGATGGCAGATTACAAAGTTTA